TGCTCTTTGGGATCCGGCTTCGCATTGCGCTTGGGGGTGTCAGAATAACCATAAATTCGTTTAATTAATATCTTTCCGGCTTCTCTATAAACAATAGATACTTGTATCCGCATACGCACAGTTCAGTTCAGTTTACTTCGAATGCTGTTGTTTTCGCTTTAAAGATCTTTTTGCTGTATACTTTTAGGTGAATAAACAAATTCAAATACTAATAATGATGAATATCTTGAAATATTTCGGAGGTTACTCAATAAACAAAACTTGTAGTAAATCTTTAAAAACACGAATGGGACAAGCAAATAATAAATAACTTATGCCTCATGACAAATGCTCGAAATGACTATGAAGAAAAATCGAAAAACAATCTAAAAAGCTTATGAATTTACAGAAATCGTTGACTTACAGAAATTTGTTGCTCAAACTGACAAAAATATATTATAATCGGTCATAAAATAGTTTTTTAAGTAGGTAGCATATGCAGGTCCATCCAAAAATACGTGCTAAAAACATAAAGCTACTAAAAGCCGCCCCGCCACTTCTGCATCCATTTTTGGCTAATTTAGTCTAATGTTTTCCCAAAAAGCTCGACTCAAATGGCGAGTTAGAATGGCGTCAGGCTTACCTTTCTGGTAGCGCCCCCGCAGTTCGACCCCCACCGAACCTTTCCAATCCGAAACCGTTGGCCACTGTGTCGCTTGGCCATTATTCCATTATGATAATTTTAGCAGCCTGTTTGTGGCTATCTATAAAGTCGTTTTGCCGCCGCTCAGCTGACGCTGCCGACTTTTTGGTCATAAGTTGTTGGGCAAATGGCAAACAAAGCGGAGTTTCAGTATTGAATTGTGATTCAGCATCTGGAAGAGCAGCACAAACGGAATTTTCAACAATGCAATTAACGTGAATTTGTTATTTCGCTAAGAAATGACTTCAGAATTTCGGTTTGCATGCGTTTCGGTTTCTAATTCAATTTGTTGCTCTGCGGTTTCAGTTCTCAAATAAATCATAAAGCAAATGCTAAATAAATAACAAATTATACAAAATGTCGCGTTTGCTGTGTTAAATTTCATTCTTATCTGACTTTGATTTGTGTCGGCTTACGTTGCACGATAAGTGAACAAAACAAAGGCAAATCATTGATTACAGTAATGATTAACGCATATATTTCGGCAAATATATGACAACAAATGGATCAAGTAACGTAAAAAAAATGGTGGATATACGAAAATGAATGAAAACGGCGTATTTTTGAAAACGCTACAACGTTAAAAGTATGCAGCGATTTTGAAACTTATATCTTGTGTAAGTTGCGAAATGCTTACCTTGCTCAAATTTAAATTGAGTAACGGAGTGCTTTACTCAAATCTTATCCCAGATTACATGTTTTTCTGTTTACACGACTTTGAAATTCCAAATATTTATTCAAAATAGTTGTGCTACAATAAAGCCGCGCACCGCAGGCCAATAACGATGCGTAAACAAATGTAAAATTAAAAGAACTTGCCGGAAATCCAAAGTAAACATAGAACCCCCCGGGTACTATGCAATTAACATTTAACATTTAGCATTGCTTAAACATTTGCATACCCTCTACGAGAGGTGGGCAACCAGAAAACGCGCTTAACCCAAACTTCGCCCAAACAAGTCTAAGCAGGTTTATATTCTGCCTGTGATTTCACGGCAGTCCCGCGAAATATCACTCCTAATTGTTCCGCAGTCGAGAGCCCCGACTTGTCGGCTGTTTATTCCAGAAAGCGAAAGCTGCTTCCAGCTGTCAGCAGATTGGCGCAGTGCCAAAACATTTCTAATGTCCGGTGCCAGGCTCGCAGCAAATTAGTAGCTGTCGGAAGCCGATTTGCCATCGATTCCCGTGCGAGCGAGAGGGCTTGCTCGAGAGCGAGACGGGCGCCAATCAGCGAAATGTTGAAGGCTTCGTCAGATACTTATCTGCTACCGCTACCTAGTAGATGTGTCGTGTTTCCAGGTGTTACGGCGAGCTTTTGGAGCTTCGGCTTCAGTTGGGCACTAGAACTTCGACTTTGACGTTGTGTCGATCGGGCGAGAGCCATTTAATTGTAGCTATCGGAAATTACACTGCACTACAAACTCGGTTCCGGAACTGTAGTGATACCTACCATCAGTTGTGCTCTTCGACTAGCCCATTGACTTGGCCCTTTAAAAATAGCACCGTGCGTTTGTGTGGTGTGCCTTTGCTTCGTTTGCCCTTACTTCGCTGCCTCTGTGTGTGTGTAACTTCGGCTGGGGAAATGCGGCGGGGAAATGCGGCTGGGAAAACCTGCGAAAACTGACGCAATAGGTCGAGCTTGGTGTGGTGGCAGTGCTACCAGTGTTATTGCCGTAAGCGTTGGCAATTACGCGCCAACTTTGGCACTTGGATGCGACGCGGCGCACTGAGATCACTATTCGGTTTTAGAATATGCCGGCGAGATAACAGGATGGGGCCCACTGTGCGGCGGAGACAGTGGGTTGGCGGACTTTTGGCGGCGGTCTCTTTTTATGCACTTGCAGTTCAGTTGGCTCACGTACGCGGCCTTTGATGCAACGCCTTTTCGCCGATGCCGACGATTTGCAATTAATTGGGAATTAAATTGTAAGGACGTGACGTCAGAGCGGGTTCGATGTTCTTGTGGGGCGATTCATAAACTCATTTACTAAGCACATTGTTTGTGTTAATACGCTACGTGTGTGTGCCTGTGTGTGTGTGTGCGTGTGTATCTGTGTGTTTGTTGTGTAAAAGGCAAACAAACAATAAGTAGAAGGAGAGCGGAAAACAGACATGTGCTCAGCTCGTTATGGGAGAACAAAACGCTTGGCGCTGCCCAAATAAATAAGCAAAGCGTAAACATGACAGAACCGAGACTCTCAAAAATCTATGCTAATTAGCAGTCGTAACAACAAAGGCGAAGAGTGTATCTATGTATCCGAGAGAATGTATCTCGAACCCATACCCATACCCATACCCATACGCAAATACCCCCAACAACATAAGTGCAAAGCCAACAAATCGGCAGGCAGCCAAACACTTGGAATACCCTCAAAAATCGAAAATTCACGAAATGTGAATGTTCAGTGAATGGGGAGTGTGGCTAAAAGCAAACACTCGGAAGATCAGAGTGAATGGAAACGCCAGAGAGGAAAATCTTTGAAATTCAATGATAATTTCACTTAATAATGTAATTATTCCATTTAAAAGGAGATAATTAAATTAGTTGAAAACACTAGAAATCACTTGTTTTGAACATTAACGACGAACACAATGACTCTATCTTGTAGCTATCTTTTAAGTATACGACTCAATCCCTCTTAATTTCGTAAAAAACAAGTTTTTATCATGCTTACTTTATTAGAAAAAGAAGTTGAGAAATCTCTATTAATGGCACAGAAATTCACAAGCGAGAAATGAATCAGAGAATCTCTGTCAAGCTTGTTGAATCAAATCTTAATGAAAGACTTCCTTTGATGACCCCCTATCCATCCTTAGATATCAAAGTTCCGCCTTTAATTATTTTCCTCACTGCATTGAGCGCCACAAGCAATTTTATCAATTCCATTGAAAGCAAAACTTTTCGCAAGGCGCTCCGCGTTCTTTATCAAAAAATGCTAAATTTATCAGCGATAGCCCAGAAAAGATAACTAAAATGTGTGCTGTTCTACAGCAAATAAGGCGAGGCGAAGAAATCAATTTCGAATTTGTTGATATTACAGGGCAAGAAAAACAGAAAATAGAAGCCACTACAATGGATCCACAGATATAGATAGCGGCTACTTGTTCGTACGTCAGTGATTCAGGCAACTTGTCGGGGCCCAAAACGAACTCCAAACGGAAACCGAAACCAATTGAGCATACACATTAAGTGAGTGGGTTTCTGAGGAGGGGAAGTGATCGTTTTAGTGGTCCCCAATTGGTATCCCCTGTCTGTCACACTGTGCAGAAATTGCATAATGCCCAGGCCAAAACCCCCACATCACGTGTCTGGGTCGTCTGGCACCTGACAGACCCCGAAGATACTTCAGTTCGGATTGGTTCTGGTCGGAGGAAGTTAATGGAGATGATGGGGCGGCCGGTGGGCGAGACGGAACAAGAGAAATTGAAAGCCATTAAGTACCTTTAAAAATAAAAGCGGAATACTACTAACCGCATGGCCCACTGGGATGATACATGGGAGAGCTATATATATATGTGCGCGTGGATATATGCTGCTTCAATTATTCAAGAGTACACCGAAAGCAGAGACTTGTGACCACAAAAATCAAAGAAATTACGCACGAAAAATATCTTTAAAATGCCATAAGTTGTATATAGATACACAGCCAGCGCAGACTCATCAGATACACAAGCACACACGTCGGCCATAAGATACATATAAGCAAACTCTAACTGTGGCAAACTATTTCCGTATTGAGTTCTCTTCTTAATGCCCTGCATTGGGCCATTTTGGGCATATTGCAAGAACGTTTTTTAGAACAAGCACTTCAAAAATTAAACATTTTAAATAGTTTAGAAAATAGTTTCCCTGATATTATTTGACCTTTAAATTCTTTATTTTCCCTTAATGTCTTACATCTTTCATTCCTGAGCATTTATCAACCGAAATTCAAGACAAAAATGTGGCTGTGACATTTTTAAATATATTTATTTTTGAAAGCATATATGCGTTAGCTTAAATGCCACAAACAAATAACGTTCGTGTTCCAAAAACATTTTCTAATATTTATGGATGCGCCGAATATATTTTTGAACCGTGCGTTTGTTTTCTGCTCATCGGACTTTATGAGTTTGTTTGGCTTGTGGAAATTGCATTGACCTAGAAGTCATATTGTTGTTTTTTCGGCCTCTTGGGTATTTGGATGTCTTTGGAATACCCTGCATTCTGATTCTGTTTTGGTTTTGCACACTTTTCTCCCGCTCTCTGACTTTCTGTTTCTCCGTATACTCGTATATTGTGAGCATGAGCATCATTATGAATTCCCCGATTTTCTTTTTGTGTGTATATTTTCAAATACATGCCACTGTGCATCCGAATCGGGGTGTCTGTAAAAATGTGTGTGAGTGGGAGACTGGGGAGCTGGCTCCCGGCTGAGATCGTGGAAAGCCCACGGCCCATTCCTTGTCCGTCGGTCGCCAGCGCCACGAGGAACGGGAAGCGCGATCTAAAAAATATATTTAAAAAATTGTTCACCCCGTGTGTCCGCTGCTCAAATCGAACTTACCCTCGTAACGAGAGCGAAAGTTCAGTATTCAAAACGCAATTTAATTTGGCCAAAACAATTCGAGGCAATCGGAGACAAAGGCGCGATCTCGGCAGCGAAAATTAAACCTCAAAACATAACGATTTCGGACGCGTGCCAGGCGTTGGGCGTTTGGCGGTGGGCGGGGCGGGGCGGCTGCGACGTCGGCAGCGGCTGCGACGTCGCTGTTTTATATGATTTTCCGCTCGTAGTGCTCGTTTTTATTTTTTATTTTCTTTTTTTCGATTTTGCCGGCTGTCGTCGTGAGCAGAATGCCGCCGGCTCTCGGTTCTGGTTCTCAGTTCAGTTCTGTTTGAGTTTCTGGCGACGAGTGACACACACAGAGGGAACTAGAAATAAACGACACCGATATACGAAACAAAACTTAGTTGTACTGTAGATTCTGGCTGATTAAGAAACACGAAACACGAAGCACTCGCACACACACACATATCTCACCCACAAGGAAAACTGCATTAGTTCAGATCGAGCGAAAGTGCCGTAGACGATGCCCAATAACCGCAATCGTAATCGCAATCGCAATCGCAACAAACGCAATCGAAACCAAAACCAAAACCAAAATCAGAATCCGAGCCAAGACCAAAGCAATCAGCAGCAGGCAGAAGGGGCGGAGGATCGGGAGGAGCAGCAGGATTCCCAGACTCAGATCGCAGTAGCACAATCTTCTTCCTCCGTAGATGATAATGGAAATTCTGGCAGCGTTTCAAATGGGCCAACGGAAAACAGCGAAGAGGTGACGAGCACTCTTGAGAAAACCGAGGAAAAACAAGAAATATCCGAGCAACCAGCAACAGTCATCCAAAAAGAAGCAGATTCAGAGGCAGAAATGGGTGCCAAAAACTCAAAACACCGCAAGGAAAAGTCCGATAAGCAGGCATCTAATGGAAAAGCCGAAGAGCAGGTGCGTCCACCACCCACCATTATAAGAAGGCCACCCGGCAGCCCCCGGCAAGCCAAGGTCATAGTTCATCGAATTGTGAGGGAAGAGCACAAGACCAATGGTAAAGCTCCATCTCCAGAGCCACCCAAAGTGGTGGCATCCAAGGAGCAGCACTTGGAGGTCGAAGACTCAAAGAAGCAGAAACCCGAGGCATGTCAGGAAGTTGAAACTAAGCAGGGGCAAGAAAACGAACCAAGTCAAAAGGACATTGCGGAATCTAGTCAACTTTTGGAGGATGCACAGCAGGAACATATCGAAGTGGAAGAGAATCAACAAGTTAACTTAAAGGATGAGCCTATTGAAAAGAATCCACAGGAAGCGCAACATGACCCAAAGGAATCGGAGCCATATGTGTTGCAACTCGAAAAGGCCATGGAATTTGTGGAAAATGCACATCAGCAACACGTTGCTGCCGTACAAAGTTATCAAAAACAAAGAGACACCGAGCAAAACGCACAGCAACAGGAGCACATCCTGCAGGAAACAACTGAAGCACAACAGCAACATATTGCAGTTCCCCAAATCCTTGGAGATCCCAAAAAGAAAGAAGAGGAGCTCGCACAGCACCAGAGGAATAATGAAAAGCAGGAACCCGTTTTGAATAATGGCCAACAGCAGCAGCATGAGATTGCACCAAAATCACCAAGGGAAATCCAAATAAAAGTTGAGTTTCATGCCGAGGATCCTCTTCCCCAGCAGCCGCCTCCTCAGAAGCCCGCCTCCAAGGTGATTATCCACCAGATACACCTGGAAACCAGCGACGAGGAGAAAAATACTAAGCCCACTTTCGAGGAGATCAGCAGCACCACCGGTTCCCTGGCCGGAGCACTATCGCCACCACCCCGCTATTTAGTGGAGTCGCCGAAGAACGTGTCAAGTGGTCAGTTCTCGCGCTTCTCGCGCGACGTGCAAATCCAGGAGCTGGAACTGAACAGCGACTGCAGCTCCGGGGAATTCAATTCCCTGCAGTCGCCGCTGGTTTGCGAAGTAGACTCGGAATCAGAGGGATCGATAGCCTTGGGACCGGAACGATCGCCGTCGGATCAGCAGGTGCCGTCCAACAGCCGAGTGGAGCAGCAGGAGCAGTTGCGCCAGAAACGTGCCCAGAAACGGAACGCTTTGGAGTCGCACTTCCTGCCGCAGTTGATTAATCCCCGCTATCTGGACAGCATCCTAGAGGAGAATGAATGGAGAAACTCCACCGCCTCCTCTGGCGGAAGCGATCAGACGGGGATCCGCACACCCAAGCTCAACGAGACCTTTCCCCGGAGTCAGTTGGACTTCAGCCGCAGGCACAAGCGGAGGGAGGAGGCCCCGTCGCCTCTGAAGCTCGAAACCAGGCTGCTGGAGGATGCAACCGATGTGGAGAGCTGCACCCGACTGCAGAGCACCCTGTCTCCCCAGTCGGAGGATGCGGAGCTGGTTTACCTGAGCTCCTCGGCCTCCAGCAGTGTCTCTGATCTCATGGAACTAGAACTGGAGCAGGCGGCCGCCTTGGCGGAGAGGGCCCTTGTGGATTTGGATACGGATGCCAGCCGCTTGATTGCTCGACCGGATGATGAGATGAGCAGCACTAGTACCACCACGGCAGACAGGAGTGAGACGGAAGCGGAAACGGAAACGGAGACGGACAGAGAGGGCGAGCAGAGTCGCGAGAGCACACCTGTTAACGCCAACCCGACGCTCGCCAGTTCGCAGTCTTCGCTGCTGAGCGCTGCAACGTTGACGCCGACGCCTACGACGACGCCGACGACGACGCCCACTCCCGCCGATCGCGAACAATTAGCAAAAGATACAAATGTATCTGGTGGATCGACTGTTAGTTTCGGGGCAGCATCGCCGCTAGCGGCCACGCGCGAGGAGTTCGTTCGCAACATGGACAAAGTGCGCGAGTTGATCGAGATGACGCGGCGCGAGCAGGAGCAAGGTGAACTACCGCGATCGCCGTCGCCGCCGCCCGTTCCCCCGCCTCCCGCCTCCGTGGCGCCCTACAGTCCCGAGTCCTCCTCGTTCCACCTAGCTTCCTTGCAGCTGAAGCGGCAGGAGTCGAACGACTCCCACTGCTCCGACAGCACCACCCACAGCCAATGCACGGCCATCAACCTGGCCAGTCCCCCACCGCCATCCACCGCTCAGCCACCCACACCGCCACTCAGACAAAAGCCTGCACCACCACCCGTTCCGCCACCCGTTTCACCACCCGCACCACCCACTCCCCAATCAGAGCCAGAGCTTTCAGTTGCAGATTCGGTTGCGGTTGCGAATGCGGATGCGGATGCAGATGCCGACACGGATACGGAAGCCATAAAGAAGCTGCGCTTGCTGTGCACCGAGCAGCTGGCTTCCATGCCCTATGGCGAACAGGTGCTGGAGGAGCTAGCCAGTGTGGCCCAGAACATAACCGATCAATCCCAGAGCAAGATGCCCTATCCCATGCCGCAGTTGCCGCACATCAAGGAGTTGCAGTTAAACGCAAACGAGGGCAAGTCCTCCTCCGCCTGGCTGGGTCTGCCCACCCAGTCCGATCCCCAGGTATTGGTGTGCCTGTCGCCCGGCCAGAGGGATTTGGTAAATAACCAGACCCAAGCGGATGACCTGCTAGATGCGCACCAAAAGTTCGTGGAGCGTCGGGGATACCATGAGTTGTCCAAGGCCGAGGTTCTCGAGCAGGACCACCAGCAGCAGCAGAGCGAGATGCTCAAAACGGCGGCCATGATGCGCGAGTTGCGCAAGAGCCTCTCGCCGCCGGCGCCCCCTGTCCCTCCGCCGCCGGTACCGCTGAAGAGCGCAGAAACGGCGGCCAAGGCGACCGCTCATGAAAACGCCAAGAGAGATGACGCAAGCGAACAAAAGCAGAAGATCACAGAATGCGAATCGTCATCGCTTCAAAATAAACCAAGGCGAGCAGCTGATCTTGGCGCTCAGCAGTCGGCAGAGCACCGCCAGAGCAGCAGCACCACCACCTCCAGCCACAAAGCGACCACAGAGACCATGTCCAGTGACGCCGCCAAGTTTCCCACACTGGACAGCATGGAGAGTGAGCTGGCCAGAATGTTCCCCCAGCACAAGGGCGACATTTTCGAGGAGCAGCGCAAGCGGTTCTCCAACATTGAGTTCCCCAGCCATCAGCCCCTCCTCAGTCAGACCAAGCGGTACTCCAACATCGAGACGAGCAGCTTCGAGTCCAGGAAGCGCATGGAGAATGGTCAGGTCGTCTACGATGTGAGCACTTCCAGTCACGAGAAGAAGGAGCAGGGTGATCCACCCAAGGAGCAGCCCGTGCCGCCCGTTCCCCCGCCGCCAATTATGTCAGCAGCGAAATTAAACGGTAACACTTTCATTGATAATGGCGTGGCGCCCAAAAATAGCCAGCCGTCGCGAGAGAGCGGTAGCGGCAGCGGCAGCGACAACGGTACGTATGAGGAATTTCGGCAGCGTGCCAAGGCCGCTGCGGATGCTTTTGGAGAGCAGCGGGAGCAGCAAAACGGGCTGGATGAAGATCGCGTGTTCAAGGACTTCGATAGGCTATCGCAGCAGATGCACGCCGAGCTGCAGAGCACGCGGGAAAAGCGGGAGAAGTCCGCTTCCATGTACGATCTCAGTGGCTTCACCCGACCGGCGACTGGTCATCCGAGACTGGATGAGTTGCAGCAGAGAAGACATGCCCACATGCAGGAGTTGGAAAGGGAAATTGAGCGGTCGGCAAAGTCGCGACAGGAGCGAATGTCCTCGGTACCGCGACAAATGGAGGCGACACCACCGCGAACTCATGAGATTCCCATCGAACTAGAGCCGCGTTCCCGCCGCGCAGAGTCCCTGTGCAATCTGAATGAGCCACCACCACGTCCGCATACCACCGTGGGTCACTATAACCATCCGGTGCCCCAGGATGACTGGTCCAGGTATGCCAACGATTTGGGATACTCGGAGAATATAGCACGACCCTTTGCCAGGGAGGTGGAGATTTGCTATCAGCGGCAGAATCAGCGAACACCACATGGCATTAGGGCTCCCCGCCTCTCCGCCAGCACCAATGATCTGAGCAGCTCTAGTCAGTATAGCTACGATACCTTCAATGCTTACGGAGGCAGGAGGACCCATGCCCCCATGTTGAACCAGGCGCAACAGCAACAACGTCCTCATTACGGCAGTTGTTACTCCATGATCGAGAGGGATCCCAATCCAAGGTACATAAGCACCACCTCGCGAAGGGGCGTGAGTCCAGCACCACCACCAGTTGCATCTCCGCAACAGCAGCAGGTTCCACCGCCTGCCTACGATCGCCAGCAGAGGAGATCCTCGCTGCCGAGGGAATTGCATGAACAGCAGCTGAAGTACATACTGTCCAAGGAGGAGGAGCTCAAGTTTGAAGTGGAGCGACTGCAGCAGGAGCGCCGTCGTCTAATGGAGGAAATGCAGAGGGCTCCAGTCCTGCCGGCTCCTCAGAGGAGGGAGAGCTACAGGCCCGCCGCCAAGCTGCCCACTCTGAGCGAGGATGAGGTATTCCGGCAGCAAATGGCCGAGGAATGGATGAACAAGGTGGCTGAGCGGGAAGAGCGGCGCCAGCACAAGATCATACGCATATCGAAGATCGAGGATGAGCACGATCACTCAGCCGTGGACAAGGCAACCATAAGCGATGAGTTCTTGGATCGGGTGAAAGAGCGTCGTCATAAATTGGCTATGCCGGCGGACAGCGATTGGGAAAGTGGGGCGGAGTCACAGCCCCAGCCAGCCGCCCACTCCCAGCCAGAATCGGATGTGGAGACGCCACCAGTACGCATACTGGAGGGCCAGGCGGAGGCCAGTCTCCGCCAGCTGCCACGGCACCTGCGGGAGTTCGCCAAGTTCTCCACCAGCGAACAGTTGCCGGATGGCGCCCAAATGGAGCGTCACGAGGAGCAGGAGCGCAGCGAGGAGGCCACCGACAATGCGCACAGCAGTGCCAGCAAGAAGACGAGCATCGTGAAGACGTACAAGGTTTCCAGGCTACCGCCTTCCGTCCAGGGTGAGTTTCCCGGCCAGTTTTCCGTGGGAAATCGCGGTCGACTCTATCGCGAACGCTCGCAAACGGCGCGGCTCGTGAGTCATAACATCCCCCTGGAACTAACCAGTAACCACAGCTCATCGCCTGACTCCGACTCCAATCCCGGTTGTGGTTCGTCCCCAGCTCCAGGTTCCTCCACCCCATCCTCTATCCCATCCCTAGTGCAATCTCCTACCCCAGCACCAGCACCACCGCCACCCATTGAACCATTGAATCCCTCATCCAGCACAGCTGGCGGCATCTTGGGCACTGCTTTGTTGCTGGGCTTATCCCTGCTGACCGCCTGGAACAAGTTCAGTTAGTTCATCTTTCCCGCACACTCCCAGTTGATCCACACATTTCAATCAAACTTGATCTTAAAAGGAATCGATTGGTTTCGATATGAAGTTGCTCACAATGCCATACCAAAATTGCATCTGTTAATATCAAGTTGGTAGTAATCCGTTATCTGGTTTTTGGCCATCTCGCTCATATACTCATATACTGTAGCTACTTGGTGTTGTCCTATCTCTCTCTTTTGTATATCTCTACCTCTCTCTTCTGACTGTTCATTGTGCGCGAATGCTCCTACTTCCTCCACACAGACGAGGCCACAGAAAGCGAAACTGAAACCAGAAGCACCACTATCCATCAGATAAATCGCTCCAGCGATCCCCAGCCGGGAAAAATCGGTGCCAGTTTGAACGAGTTTTTCGCAGGCTCACCCTTCCGAGCGAAAATCTACGAAGAGTTCGACAAGTACTGGCGAAACTTCGAGCACTCCGCCTCGAACACCTTCTAGGGCCATCCTGAACCACAAACCGAATGCTTTGACCCCTAACCCTTGACCCGGCCCCTTTCAAGGCCCTTCCCCTGCAGCTGCATGCAGCATCCCCACTCTCAGCTCATGTTATATATTCAAATATAAACACGTTACAGATTTGTCCAAATTGCGTTTGTGAAACTTTGTTAAATGTTCAAAACATTGAAAATAATCTTAATACATTAGCAATAAAACGATACCGAAAATTATATTTAGTGTTGTTTAATGTTTAATAAACGAAATTATTTGATTAACCACAAATTGTTTACTTGTTTTGAGTATTTTCGTTGCATTCATCCGATACTCGTTGTTTATATTCCGCATGCGATTCCTTTTAGTTGTGTGATATGTCCCGAAAAAGAGAGAGGCGATGTGCTTGAAAAAACAACTAATCCATATTTGTGTGTAGTGTACAGATATTTGCAGACGTTGGGTTGAGAAATATCAGACATGCGTAAACAAAATGTTTGGGAAATATATGCCAGATCTGTAAACCATCTACTCATCGTTTTGGGAAACATTTCGAATTTGAATAAACAAAACAAGCTGTTAATCAAGAACTAAGACGATAATTTAACACCCTAAGCTTTAAGTATTTGAGTTTATCTCAATATTTATGCAGCTTATTCTTACCATTTTTAACATTGTCTTCATAACTATTTCAATTCAGGTCGGAATCTATGAGTTTTATTTAATTTAAGCTGTCTGATATTTCCAAACTTACCACATATAATTGTCTAATCTTAGCTTACGTCTAGATAATAAATCATTTGGCTTTGTAATCCGCAAACATTCGCTTAAGTCTCAAAAGCTCAAATGCTCGAGGGCTAAAACCGGCTTTACCCTTTCGCGGCTTTGCCAGACCCCCTTCCCACCCCCTCGTGGTGACTTATCTGCCCCTCAAGAATTGCAATCAAGCTCAAGAAACGAGAACAAAATAAGGAAAAGACAAGCGAAATTGCGATTAAGCGGAAATTTTAAATTAATTCCATTCAATTGCATGGACACAAAGTGCAGTCCGACAGACGATCCGTTTGTTTAAAGAGAATTACGGAATCGGGGGCAATTGGGCTAGAGCGTCTACACAGAGAAAAATACTTGTTATCATCAGGTTGATAGTTTGATTAGTGACCACTATTTAAATCATCAATTTTAGAGATAATTTATCAATATGGATAGTTGTCGATTAACCATATAGAAGAAGATACAAAGGCTTAAAATTTAAGACCCATTATTGGGATAAATATATTAAAAAGTGGTTCTATTCTACAAAACATAAGTGCGATATTGAGAGCAGGTTATCCTTATCCAAGATATGGAAATTCGAATAGAATTATTTTATTCCTTTGATTTTAGATTTCTATTAAAATTCAAAGCAATATATCTAATAACATTGCATTTAAAAGTGGATAGTTATTGGATAGTGGATAGTACACAGTTAGGTTGCCACGATTTTTCTCTGTGTACAAGCGAATGTGCATGCTGAAATGGGAACGGGGAGCGGGGGCGACGATCGGAACCCGCTAGATGGCGAAGATCTAACCGAATGCTATCGTTCAGACAGAGCCACTGCAACCGAGGAGGCGAACTCAGCGGCAACGGGAATGGGTGTCCGGCTGCGACCACGCCCACCCAAGCAGACGCGCTTCCTCCTTAACGCGCAGCAGCTGCAGCAGCAGAGGCAGCGGCGCAGCTGGTCGGAAAGCGATCTTCTCAAGGAGATCGACAGCGAACTGCAGCTGGCCAAAGGCTTCCTCTACGCGAATGGTGTGTCAGAAACCCCTAGAACGCCTCTCCACCCCCCTGCTTTCAATCCACGCACCCCGCCACCCGCCACCCGTCCCCTGTGTCTAATTGTTTAACCCCTTCACGATATCCGTGCAATTATGTTAAGTGTATATTTAGACAAATCCACTCACGACATGAGTGAGTTTTGCTAGCCTGCCTGAAAGTAGGCAACAGAGTTCGCTCATTTTTGTTTCAGCACATTGCGTATACGACGTGAAGGCTTCTCCTTGGTCACTTGCCACACTCGCCTACACATTTACACACACCGCCAAATATTTATCTTTATCTGCACTGCGTCCATAATTTATGACCCACTTGAGTCGAAGATCTCTCGCATTCACTGCCCAGAAGATCGCTCTTCTTGGCTGCCTCTCCTGCCACTGTCTCTGTTTACGAAAGCATAAAAAAATTGTTGTTTATGCTGGGCGAAACGTAAAGAAATACGAATTTTTCATCTGAGAACGAGAACGTTCAACAAATTTGTTGTCTTGCGCTCGCACACAAATTGAGATTTTTCGGCTGGGATCTGGCTAACGAAAGTCCAAGCAACCTGCCCGAAAATTCAACCGTTTCGTAGTCGTCGTCGTGTTAAAGTCGTGTGAGCAACGCGAAGGCGCGTCAGAAAACAGAAAATAGAAAATATAGAAAAGTCCGAAGTCGGAAATTGAAATTAAAAAAAGAAGTCGCTTCTATATTTCCACAGCACAAATGGGGCAGGGTTAGTTGAGTGTTTAGTGTTCAAATTTGTTTGTGTGCCTGCCAAACGTGTGGCCACTTCCGCAGTGAAAGTATCGATAAGATAGCAAGATGCACGGGCTGCACACGAAGTGAAGTGCATAAAGTGAAGAGTATCCCGATCTATATTGCCTTTCTGGCCATTTGCAATTTGATTTTTGCAGAGCACACACAAAGCACGGCGGGCACCGCGATGTTTGCACCCAAATTCAAGGCGCGCGCGCCACCAGGCTCAGGTAAATTGTATCTGGCGGATGCGTTTGCAACCGCAGATGCATTCACGACAAGTGTGACAAATGGCCAACATGACGTTTTCAGTGGGTTGTCTTTGATGATTCCCTGGCGAAGCTGACGAAGAGTTCAGTTCAGTGGCTCTATCGTCGCGATTTTCCAGTTTTCCCGTCAACTTTCCACCTTTCGACTTATTCATTTTCAAATTTATTGCCTGTATTTATAGATCATTTTTTGTGTTAGCTCTTTCATTCCATTTTGTTTTTTTTTTTCTCGGTTGGGCTGAACTTGATTTTGCCTTTGGCAGTTGCGATTGTTTATTTTAAATATTTCACATTAGTTCTTGTTAATTGTGCACGCACCAAAAATTTCCACATGATTTAGGGAAACATTTTGGAAAATCCAAACTGGAACGAGGTGCGCCATTGCTAAATATACGGCATGACGTAAAATCCGAGGGAGAAAATGCTGTATATTTATTACAATATTTGCAATGTTCCCAATTGTTGTTCGCTATTCGTGTTAGACGCCCACGCGTATACCGCCTTTTACAGTCTCCAATAAAAATGCCTGCTAAATAAGATCAACACGGAGAGCAGAGTACTCTGCCATGTCGCCATCAAGATCCATTTGATGTTCTTCTTGGCCAGGTTCGTTGGATTTTCCATTCAGCAGAATCCGCCGTGGGCCATAAAACCCCTTTGGGGATTTAAGGGGGCGTAGGCAAATCCATCAAACTTTCATTCCTTGATTGGCGTCATCTGATGGCATTATCTATGCTTTTGAAATTTCGATCTGCTACACATTTATTTAAAGCATTAATTTGTATGCTGTTATTTTTAACATTTTCCCCGTTCTTGTTTTTTTCGGTTCAGTCTTCTTATTTTGCCATGCCGAAGAATGGAAAATATAAATTTGAAGACTCTTAGTGAGTGAAAATAATTTATAGTTTGTTATAAATTCAGTTGAACTTGAACAAAACGATTCCTATGCCTTTGCTACTGGCCAGGAATTGGCGATTTAATTCGGTTTGATGACGTTGCCCTCGTTGGGATTATCAATCTGCTAGAAGAGATCTTAATAATAGCGATTGGAATGGAATTCATGAGTCAATAGGTGGGCAGATGAATAAATATACAGATCGTGCATAAGGTGCTGGAATCCGGCTATAATTATGTGTACGTTTTTATAGCCATATTACTTCACAGAGCTTGGGAAAATAATAAATCAATGATAAACCTTGTTTTATATATATTTTGTATTTTCTTAATGCTGCTTGTTACATAAAAATAAAACCGCAACAATTTCGTATAATAAAATATGTCTTTTAAAAACAAATGGAATAGACATTTTATTCGTATCTTAATCACCTCCCTTAATCTCATGGCCCATTATGCGGCTGCCA